ATAATAATTTTCGTTGATTTTGGAAAAAATGAAATATGGGCACGGAAGTCTATGCCAAAGTCAAATTTATGTGATATGTGCATTTTGTGAGATTTCTTGAAATGTTAGATGTAGATGAATGGTTATTCAATATGCCATTATAATAACGTATAATAGACAAATAATATGAGATCAATGTGTTATTGGTGAACGAATGTACCTACTTTAAGAGTATAGATGTTGCATTTTTTATTTTTATAAGTTTTTTTTAATAATAAAATTAGTACAAAATTATAATACTTTATTTTTATTTATAACATGTATTTAATACACATGTTTATACATAGGCATATGTGATCAAATTAAAACGACATAAAACAAATTTAGGAAGCTGAGTATTGAAAGTACTTGCTAAGTTGTTAGCTTTAAGGCTCAGAACTTTATGGCATATGAGTAAAACTAAAGAATTCCTGCTGCCATACCACTTTTTTAAACTTTTAACTACTACGTAGCCTTTAAATAATTATAAATCTCTTAGTAGATCTAATAATTTTTGACGGTATCTAAATATTCTGACAGTATTTATGTCGGACATTATTGCATTGATTTTAAAAGTTTCTCTGACAGAGATATAGGTTTTGTTTTATCCCAAAGAAAAGAAATCCCACAGAAAAGGAGAACAACCTATAGATTTTACCGACAATTTTAAACTAGATAGAGCAAAAATACTACGTTGCTCTCAAGGTAAAAATGGTTATACGCATTATAAGACAGAAATTTTAATATTTAAAGGCGAAGTTGGATAGCTAGTTCTTTAGGATATTAAGCATGAATTTCATTTATTACGCTGTGTATTGTTCTTACCAGACCAGAACTATCCAAACATCTGTATAAATGAGATTGACCTCGCGACCTTCAACCAAAGCCAGTCAGGGGTAACGTAACGAGCTTATTATTAGTTTTTATATGTGAATACTACAAATTGTGATTAGTATGAAATAACAACTTTGAAATAATCTCTACTGCCTTTAAAAAATAAATCTATTAAGTTGTTTATTTGTTGGTCTGTCCTTTTACGGAGCAACGGAAGCTGTTATTTTTTATAGTGATAGTTTATGGGTCGGAAAATAATAAAGGTATCTTTCATCTCTATATACATATATAAAGTTATGTTCGTGGGCTCTTGAAAAAAATAACTATTAAGAATGCGGTATAATAAGCTGAGCGCAAAGGGCTAATAGTATAGCATTTATTCTAATGATAATAATAATAAGTATTATGGTAATAAATATCGACGAAACAAGAAGAAATAAATTTAATTGAATTGACGACACGTTTGGCTCAGTTTGTAGTAACCCTACTTGCTGCGCCGGCGGTCGCGAGTTCGAGTCCCGCTGGGGGCATTCATTTGTGTGATGAGCACGAATGTTTGTACTAAAGTCATGGGTGTTTATATTTATAATATGTATATATTTAAAGCTATATATGTATAATGTATCAACTATTTTGAATCCATAACACAAGCCTTTGTAGCTTACCATGGAAATAGATGGTGTTGTGTGTTAATGTCCTGACATATTTATTTATTTATTTAATTTCCTTAAAGGTATAATATCCTTCAATAAATTGTCTTGAAGGCCAAGGTGAACTGCCCTGCAAACGATGAAAGAAGACGTTACTCACATTATAAATGTGAAAATGTGTTAGTGAGTGTATATGCTGTGTACTTTTTAACGCTCTAAATCGTTTCACCTAAATCCGTTGAGCATTTGTTTGTTTTAATGGAGATAGAGTTAATATACAGAGAGTTAATACGTAGACTATTTTTTATCGATGTACCTAAAAATGAACAAAGTAGAGCAACACAAGGCGTATCTCCGTTTGGGCTAGTTTAGCTTATCAAAAATAATATTTTCAACAATAACAGCTTATAATTTTTAATATTATGTATGTATTTAAAGTTTATATAAGTGTAGTGTATCAACTATCTGGTATCCATAACACAAGCCTCGTAGCTTACCGTGGAACTAGATGGTGCTCTGTGTTAATATTCCAACATATTTATTTATTTATTTTATTTATAATTACAAAATCGTGAACTTAATATCTTACAAATATAATAAGAATATACTATAGAGAAAATTTTAATGTCAATAAAAGAACCCAAGATGATGATGATGATGATGATGTTCTCCTAGCCGATTCCGGCCACGGCGGCCAATCTCAATGAGATTAGCTAACTGCGCAGGAGATATTATAGTGCTCAAGTGTACGCGCAGACACAAGTGCACTCTCTATTCCTATCACTCTCATACTCCGGTGGGACCACCACTCGACACGACCGGTGAGAGTTAAGGCGCAGGACCGACGGCTTAACGTGCTCTCCGAGGCACGGGGGTAAAACACCGCCAACTTCCCAACTCCGGGCTGTTACTGAGACTTACTATACAGGAAGACTCAATAACTAAACTTGGCCCGACCCGGGACTCGAACCCAGGACCACCGGGTGTGCAGCCGTACATGCTAGCCACTACACCACCGAGGCAGTTAAGAACCCAAGATAAGTATAGAAATGCACATAAGCTATTAATAATATGAGAATTGTTAATTTAATAAACGATTTATTTTATATAGGATAAACATGTCCCAAATAATAAGAAAAGCATCACAATAATTTATGGGTAATAACTAACAAAATATGAAAATTAGAATTGTAAAATAGTAACAAATATATAATATCTATTTTAGTTTTTTATGTTCCACGTTTATATAACCAAGACAGTCGAGCGATTGCTGTTATGGTTCACTCTGTTTTAAGAAAAAGAACAACCCACATAGACTAGTATACGTCCCAACGCCGCGCCGAGCCGTCTCAAAACGGGCTTAGAAGAATGCGTTGGTACGTTTTTTTTGACGCTTATCAAAAATTACCTTGAATTCAAGGTAATTTTTATTATATATTTTAGTTTTACTTATTTTATTATTTATATTAGTTTTACTTATTTTTCATCGCCTCATGTCTAAATTAAAATAATCGATGCGTAGAAATCAAAGATTATAAAATTGTTATTCTATTTCTAGTCGTGTAAATACAATTTTTTCACATTTTTTTTCAGATATATGAAAAAATGTACAAATAAGTAATAAATTAATACAAAAATATCTTAATACAGATTTTTATTTTTTATATTAAAATCTAACTGGCAATGCAATAATAATTTTAATTATAATTATAATACTAAGCAATTGAACATTTCTTTTTATTTAATATTATATATTAGTTTGTTTTTATTCCTACAATTTTTGGCAAATATACTAGGCTTTATAGGATAGGTTTTTGGGTTATCCTTTAAGGCTTTATAGTGCCACCTGTTGAGATACCAAAACAGGCATTGACTCTATTATTTTGATTAAATTCCTGTTACCTTATGCTTCGGCGGGAATTACTTCATTTTCACTTTAATACTAATGTATAATATCGATGCAATAATAATATGGATACAGCCATTGAAAAATAATATTAAAAAATATATATAACTAAAAATAACTTCAAGACACTTAAAATAACGGAAGGATGTTTTCAGTTGAATTCAGAACACACTCCTGTTTTTAAGTTGGTTAATTGGTAATATTTCAGATATAGAAGCTAACCTTAGTTCCTTAATCTGAAACTTATACTTATAAAAAGTGTATAAATATAATATTTTTGATTCCTTGCAACCTGTTTTTATGAAGAACTGTGTGATTGAAGTAGTGTTGTAGCTCCTTGTAGAATGCATGCACATTCTTTAAAGCTGGATGCATGTCCATCGTAAATGACTTTATAACAGATGACTCGTAACAATTTTGTTCATGTTTCGTGCTAGGCAAAAAGTTATTTTTGAAATATATTATATATATATATATATATATATATATATATATATATATATATATATATATATGATTCCTTTTTTTAATTTTTGTGGTCAAGAAAAAAGGGTTGAACAAAAATAAAAAACTTGAAAAAATATTTTTCCCTATATTTTGTTCTAGTTACAGAAAATACTAATTATACTAATTAGTATTATTATTATTTATGTACACTGGAACTTTCTCAATTAGTGAAAGAATTTACAATATTTCTAGTTACTGCAATTTCTTCGAAACGTGAATAGCATTCAAAGTACCTACAAGGAGAAACGCAAAGGAAGATTTATTTTATTATGTTCATTGAACGTCATATTTCGTGCTTTATGAAACCGAAATTCCGCATTATTCTTGTCAACATCCTTAAAGTCAACGAAAAATTTATATATCACTAGCGACTCACCCTTGCTTCGCTCGGGTTTGTCCCTAGCTTACTTCCCCTTACAAATTTTCTGGGACAAAAACTATTTCACTCACTCACTTTCCATATCATGAGATTTAAAAAAATCTTAGTTATAACTACCTCGTATCCATAACACAAGCCTCGTAGCTTACCATGGAACTAGATGGTGCTGTGTGTTAATGTCTCAAAATATTTAATAATAAAAAAAAATTACATACTTTTTAGCAGTTCTACAACATTGTTTACTCTATATCGAATGTTTTATTTTAATAAACAGCAACAAACAATTGATTTGCAATTATTTCCAGTATATTTATGTAATTTGTAGGCTGAAAACTATTTAAATAAGAAGTAAATAAATATTAGCTATTTTATTTTAACTGAAAAAATCTTGGAACTCTCACTTTCATCTCAGGTACGTTTTTTTTAATACTTTGTCTTAACTTTGGATTCACTCTCAATAATTGTATATATATTCGATACAAGCAAGCTATACAATATTACTCTACTAGGTCTAGATATAAAGGCACCAACATTTCAATCTATTGGCACATTCAAGTAAAATTTAACTAAGTTTTAAACGTTGACTATAATTAACAGTGCAATAGAAAAATCTATTAAAATCTATTTAGCTATATTCTTTTGGCTTCCGTAAAAATCTTTAAAAACAGGATATAAACTAGTGCTTTACATTCAATATATTTTTCAGATGATGCCTCAAATTAAAGTCTCAATCGCGTTTCTTTTACTTTGTGCTATCGTTCAAGCTCAAGAATCATTTTATGCCGGCCGCAATGGACGTGGATATCCTCTTATTGAGAAACTTGTTGAAATTTCACGTGAACAAATCTTACCGCTCAAGACACGTGGAGATTTAACACATGTAAGAAGATTACTAGCAATGCCTCCAAACACAGAACCGCCATTTTCGGTGATTAACAGGGAACACTATGAAAATTTATATAATCATCCAACCACCTGGCCTATAAGGCAGAGTGATTTCGTAGATCCAGTTCATGGTTAATGTTCCTGCAACCTAAAAAAGTGTATTTGAGACTTACTTTTGAATGACACATTAATGCCGAATATATAATTTAAATATGTATTTGAATTATCTATATATTTATATATGTGTTAAATTACTTTCATTTGTTCGTATATTAAAAATATATGAAGATTAAAAATTTTAAATGATAAAAAAAATCTAATTTTTTAGACTTGTTTTTGTGTTTGTTAGCGACTTTATTCTGATATGTGTATTTAAGAGGTAAGAACAATAATAATAATAATATTACTTTTATCTCGAAGCTAATATCGCGCTTACTGATTAAGAAATTTAACGATTTTTTTTACCGAATTCTCCACAAATGTGCATGATGACGTTATTTATAACACGTAAATTAAAAAAAGTTTCATAACAAATTGCCTTCTTTACCGACTTCCAAAACCAGCCATTAAGTCCCACTATACATATGCTGGCTTCGTCATTATATAAGGACCATCAAATTATGGTGTCGCTATCTGGGTTTTAAATATAATTTACTATTGTTATTAATAGCTTAAAATATTTCTAATAAAACCTATTGTTAACCTTAGTTTTAATTATATAGAATAGCAGCTCTGGTCGCGTATTTGGTTCATATATGCCACTATTATCGTAATCTGACTTTTCTGAAATAAATATACTAAAATGAAAAGTTTTACAAATAAAAACTTAAAAAAAAATACCGACTTCCAGGCACTAAAATGTAAAAAGTAACTAAACGGAGCATTTCATTTAGAATAGATACCTAATCAGATATTTTCGAAGTCGGTGCCAACCAATGCAAAGCAAATACATATTTACCTATTAGATATTCATATCTTAAAATGCTATAATATATATATATATATATATATATATATATATATATATATACTAGCAGAACCCGCGGCTTCGCTCGCGCTAAAGCTACAAAGAAATCTCTAAAACGGTAGATTCATACAAACTTTCATCCCCTATTTTGCCCACTTAAAGGATGTATTTCGAAAAATGCTAAAACATGTATTTATTTAATTGTATTGAAGAGCATTAATACCGAATTTCAAGTAATTCTGATCATATATTTTTTTTGGATTGTATTATAACGTGTTTTCCCGTGGGAATGACATAATCTCCCGCTGTATAAAATGTGGCGTATGTCACTCTCCAGCCTTCAACTATATCCACACAAAAAAATACGCCAATCCGTCACTCCGTTTCGGCATGAATGAAGAACAAACAAACACACTTTCACACTTATAATGTTATGTATGGAAGTATGGATATGGATATATTGAAATCATTTAAAGATTAATCACTAGTTCCTAGGAACTATCCGTATTAGCTTTTAGAATTTCGTAGATAGCTTCCTTAAATGATAAAAAGAAAAAATCGGTCAAGTGCGAGTCGGACTTACATACCATACCATAATCCATAATCGATTCTTTTTTAATTTGCATGGCAGTCTGTTTGAAATTTGCCATATTGGTTTTTTGTTATTTGTTGTTATAGCAGCAATAGAAATACAAACTATGGGAAAATTTCAACTCTCTACCTACTACGGTTCATGATATAGAGCCCTCTGACAAACCGACGGATGGATGAACGGACGAATGGATGGACAGACGGATAGCGGAAGTTTAAAAAAAAAAGGCATTTTAAGAATCAAGCTTGACCGCATTTTAAAAATATTATTCTTAAGCTTGAATTGAAATCAGGCACAGAAACTTGTTTACATAATTTAGAGTAATTATTCTTAAAATTTTTAATGGTACATATACATATATTCAAGAAAATGTCAACTTGGTACATATTTGTAAAAAAAAATACTGTTCGAAGTACGAGAAGGAAGTTGCTTACATAAAGCCGTTATTTGTCTCAGTTTGGGCTTTAAGTCAAAAGACGTCTTTGTGAGGATGTGATTGGAATGCAATAACCAAACAAAGGGATAATAAAAAATATGAGCATGTTTCCATTGTCACATTCAGTACCATAGAAAATATTACCAAAATCAATCTATAAGAAGATTACATTTGTAATATGAAAAAATATAATATTTACATTTATTACACTACTAGTAAAAATTTGAAAGTTTATATGTGTATGTATGTTTGACGTTTGTTATATTATTCCTTCACGCTCAAGCAGCTGTACGGTTTTGTATGAAGCTTAGTGCGTACATATATTGATTATGACTTGGAGTAACACGTGGCGAAATAATATAAAAGGCACCTAGGGACAGAACAGGCAGACTGCGAAGGTAAGTTTAGCATTATAAGAATTATTTCTAAACTAGCGACTCAACCTCGCTTCACTCGGGTTCGTCCCTAGGTACGTTTTAACGGTTAGTATGAAATACAAATCTTTGAATTTCTGGGCTTTTCTGTAATATAATATGCATGTTTTATATATATAATATATAAACATTCCTCTTGAATCACTCTATCTATTGCTGAAAACTGCATTAAAATCCGTTGAGTAGTTTAAAAGATCTAAGCGAACAGACAGCGGAAGCGATTTCATTTTATACTATGTAAATATTTTCAAACTCATTAACTACACATACATAAATATCTAAAACAGGATACATTTTTAGTCTGTTAAAACAAACATCTTATGAGATACAATCATAAGATTGGCTGGTGAATTAAAATTAAGATAAATTACTCAAAATAATAAATAATAAATAAGTGGGCGTGGGACTTTTTGTATATCCTAGAACAGGTTTCGTCAGTTTCCTACTGCGCGTACCCATGTTTTCTTTTATTTTGATAGTAATCATCATACCGATAATTTGAAGCAACTTTGTCTGTCTGTGTGTTACCTTTTCACGCTGCGCTGAACCGATTTAGATGACTATGGAAATAGTTTGAGACCCTGGGAAGACATAGTTGTCATTCCGGAAACCACCTCATAATCAGGGGGTGAAATGGGGGTGAAATTTGGGAATTGAAAATGGGGAATCAATCATTTCTCAAATAAGGGATATAAAACTACTAAGAAATTCTGCACAAAATCAATTGAAACAAAAATCTGCCCAATCAAATGGAAATCAAAGTTTTGATCTTGATCGTGCGGTCACGGGGGCTCAACAATCGCCATTTTTACATTATCATGTCAGTAGGTTTTGATTCAAACTAATAATAAATATTGATAAAGTTAGTACCTACTCTTTCAATACATAAGATTCTTTATTAAAACCTGTTTCATCTCACCTGTAACTGTATAATAAGGCATTCAAGTGCAAAGCAGGAAAATCGCGAGCGAAATAAAACTGCAATAAACACCAAAATTAATATAAAATTTAATAAGCACCGTAAATTCTTTATGCTATAGGTAAATATCAGTCAGTAGAAATAATTAACAATAAGTTATGTTCTATTCTATAGTACGAGTATAATATGAATAACAGAGACGTAATAACTTTATATATATATAACTTAATAATAACATAACGTAATATAAAAAAATCGAACAAGTGTGTCCCATAGGCACCGAGAGTTCCCCATACACTAACTTGAAATATGTTTTAATTTAACAACATTTCATTTTAATTATAGTTAAAAAAAGTCATAGTGTTGTTTTTTTTTTAAATAATAATAACAGTTATCTTTGCGATCCCTTAACAAAAACGAAACATGAACACAACGAATTTTATACCTCAAAACTGACTAAACTTAAATAATTTTTATTGGCAGTATTTTAAAAGTTCTACCTCGATTTTATTTAATAAACATAAATATACTAACGACTGACAAACGGACAGACAGATTAACAATTAACATAATGAAATGTCGACAAAATGTAAAAGAAGTGACGGAACCCCAAAAAATGGCGGAACAATGATGAATAGATGATAAAAAAAAAATTAACGACTCTATCTAATATAAATTTAATAAGAGCAGTTAGCCATTGATAAAAAACATTCAAGATTATAAACATTTTATAAGATTTTTTACTTCCTAAATACCCAGTCAGTATATACGTATAAAGTTTTATATATAGAACTAGCATTTCCCGCGGCTCCGCCCGCGTTCAGATGACCAAAAACCAAATTCTTAGGTTTTACATATTACTCGTAGTGTACTCTTACAATGCAGTTTTTGTATTTTTCTCAGATATGAGATATTTTCCCGCGGTAAAAAGTATCCTATATGTTGACCCGGATAACCAGCTATCATCATACTAAATTTCATCAAAATCTGTCCAGTGGTTTTTTCATGATGCGGTCACAGACAGACAGACAAAAATTGTAAAGATTCAGGCTCTGTATCGATAATAATGTCTATTTCAATTAGATTTTCCAAAAAATATTTAATGTACAGATTCAACTTAGTTACAATTTTATTATATGTATAGATCTACTTTAAGTGCGACATAATAACTTATAAAGGTTAACAAGTGACATTATGTAAGATCAATCAGCTGTAGACATGCAATTAAGATTAACAATAATGAATTGAACTGACACTTAATTGAACATATCGAATAAAAGTAGATAGCTATTTGTCCTTTCATTATACTTCCTGCTAATATGGGATGGATGGATGTTTGTTACTCTTTCACGCAATAACTACTAAACGTATTTTGATGAAACTTTGCAGTAATATAAGCTTATACATCAGAGTAACACATAGGCTACTCGTATAATAAAAAAAATTGTAATACGTAATTGAACTATGCGTGCGGAGTCGCTGGAAAATACTAGGTTTACCTAAATTATGGCAATGGTAGCGCGTTCGCTTAGATAAACAAGTGAAGTGGGTTCATATCCAAGTCCATGTGAGATGCACATCGCCTCTTGCTAGTATGTACATTGAAGGGAAACAGCGTGAGGAAACCTGTCTGAGATCTGAGAGAAACTAACTAGATTTTTCAAGACGTCTTGTGCATTTAGCCAGCGTGGTGGACTGTGGCCTAATTCTATTTAAAATGCAATTGGAAGGGGACCTGTGCCCCGCATGAAGGATGTTAAAAGATTGATTAATTATTATTTGTAT